AGGAGATGAGATTTTTAGTACTTAACGTGGCTGGAATTAAAAATAAAGCAGCTTTTCTTGGACCTGGATTTAATGAATGCTGAGAAATCCTGAGGGAATAAGGCCCGAAGAAATTCCAGTTATCCGAACTAGATCTTGTTGGCTTCCCTTGGGGCTTGTTCCATGTAGTGTTTAGCATTAAGAGGCTTTCATTCGACATGGAGCCAGAGGGACTATGGCAGATGTCGTATCTGATACCACACAGAAAGCTGGAGTTGTCCTCAGATCAGCTGTTGGCCTTTAGAGATGCTGGTGAGTTTTCCATTTTGACATCCCTTGCATGTGTTTCTTCAGATCTACGAATATCCTCTTGACTGCCATGGAAAGGAGCTGCCTTTCCTGCGCAATCCTGATATCCTGGTGGGAGAGAATGACTTGACAGCCCTGAGCTACTTGCACGAGCCCGCGGTCCTCCACAACCTCAAAGTGAGATTCCTGGAGTCCAACCAGATCTACACATACTGTGGTGAGTGTCACGGCATGGCCATCAATCCCCAGGGGACATTTCTGGGGTCCTGCCTTGGGTAATGGCTGCAAAATCAGAGATGACTTTCGTGGCAAGTGTGGTGAGTCCTTCCTGAGCTTGTGGAGCCTGTCTAGAGACAGGAGACCAGTGAACAGAGACCATGTGACCAGTACAGAGGTGGGACTTCCATTGCCTGCTCTGGTGGGGAAACTTAGGGGCATCAGTGTTGGCAGAAACACCTTGTCAGATGAGATTGAGGCCAGCTGTGAATGTGATGAACCATCTACAGGGAAACACGAGGACCTGGTAAGCTGCTGTGGAGAACAGCCATGCCCAGGAAGATGGATCCAACTGAGAGAGTCTTACGGTGCATTTCTCTCTATATGGAGTTCTAGTGAGTTTGTGGAGGTGACCAGAGCTATAGGATCTGATGTCACAGAAAATTGTGTGATTTAGCCGATCATGAGAGGCAAAAACTATAATTATGCTACAGAAGAACAGACAATGAAGATGTGCTCTTAGTGTTGTTGCCAAGCATGTCTTTTCTTTGCAAGAGAAGAACTCCTTTCTGGGGCAATTTCCATCCAGAATTGTAGTGGTATCCTGATAAAATTGATGGCCAATGGTAGAGGTCAGCTCATGTGGGGAAAAGCAAAAACAAAATGGCCACGTTGTTGTTTTATGCCCCTTCTTTATGACTTTGGGAACTCAAAGCAAATGCAAGGCCAGTGTGAATTTGATTTGTCTTCCTGTGAGACTATATGGCCAACAGCATCCAAGACAGCAGTTACCATTCCTGCCTCTTCTCTCACTGCAAGCCATGAACTGTCTGTAGCTCCTCCGAATAACAACAGTGTTAGATTTATTTTGTTTTATTTTAAACCCATAAAACCTGGAGATATTTCAGAGCTGGAACTTGTGAATGTTCCAGTATGGCCATATGCAAGAACCACTCTCCAGAAAAGGCAGTTGCCCTGGATTTCTCCAGAGATGGAGGTGCCCCTAAATTGACAGCTGTTCTGCTCCAGGCATGGGTTTTCCACAGTGGGAGCAAAGGAAGCCTTTAAGGCTCAGTCCCTGGTGTTCCCTCACTGTCATCTATCTGTTTCATTTTGCTTTGAGTGTGCCCTTTGTTCAAAGCTTTTGCTCAGCATTTAAGCCATGGGAAAATCCGTGTTATTTGTTTGCTGTGGCTTCAGAGGAATTACTTTTCTGAAGTTATGGCTCAGGCATCTCTTAGCCCTCCTTCTCAGACCTTCTAAAAAGTCAGGCTTGGCACAGTGGAGCCATAAGTATACACTTTCCTTACCAATTTCATATTGCTCCTCCATGGCTGTCCTGGAACTTAGTGCCCTGCTCTCAAAGCACTGCACTTCCAAGGAAACACGGAATAAGAATTTCCCATTTCCTTCCCATCCCCTTTTTTTTTTCCAAGCAGCATACTAAAAATCAACCAAAACAAAACCCTCTAAAGCACGAGCTGACATAACTCTAACTTCAGTTTGTAACCTCTGTGCATTTCTCTCTAAGGTATTGTGCTTGTTGCCATCAATCCCTACGAGCAGCTGCCAATCTACGAACAAGATGTCATCTATGCGTACAGTGGCCAAAACATGGGGGACATGGACCCTCACATCTTCGCTGTGGCCGAAGAAGCCTACAAGCAGATGGCCAGGTGAGTGGACACTTGGTGAGGTCTGTCTGGTTTGAGCTGGTGGTCCAAGCACCGAAGAGGGGCAAGCAGATGATGAAGAAGTCATGGACAGCAGGGTGGGAGATCCAGGTTTTCATCTCTGAGAATATGGTGTCTTCTGTCATGTGGCCTTATTGCTAGGAAAAGAGAAAAAGAAGGAAAAATAAAAGCAAGTGTGTCCTGTGCGTAGACCTGGAGATATTTACGGGTTGTCTTGCCTGGTCCTTCTTGATGATTCCTTCTGCTGGTTGCAATGATCTCTTTTGTAACCTGGCTTTGCAGTCACTGCCTCAGAACAGTGAGTAATCTGAGCCATATGAGCATTTTTTCAAGTGGTTTTCACTTGTTTTCTGATGAATCTGGCTGTTCGCCCTCAGGTCCAAATTCCATGTACACAAGGCATGATCTTTGAGGGCGATATTGCCTTGAACCAAGATGATGGTTCATGCAACATTTTATGTCAAGATGTAGAAAGAACATGTCTGGGGCAGCTTAAATTCTTGTTTTGGTCCTTTGTGCTGTGTTAAGGCAAGGTATAGCCTGCCCTAAATCCCCCAAACCCAGAGAAGTTATTGGATGGGATGCCACTGGGAGAGACACTGTGTCCCTTGGGTACTCGCAAGCTGTCCTGCTGTCCAGTGCCTGCAGCCTTCAGCAGCATCTGTGCCAGGTGCATGAGATAGGAGGGCTTTTTCCTTTATTTCTTTCTTTATTTATTGTGCTTAGTTCTGTATTTATTATGCTATGGATGTAGCATTTTGTTGTTGCAACATTAGCAAGGTGTATGACCTGGAAGAGGAGAAGAAGCTGAAGGCTGCTGCGTTGGGTGTCATTGTATGGGGGTCATCTGGACTCACGCCAGATGCTTTATTTTAACTCAGCAGCCATTTGTGGTAATGAAGGCGCCCCCTTCACCTGGTTTTCTGTAATTCCTTACAGAATTTAAACAGAACTTACCTGAGGGGAGATGCACGTGGACTCTGCAGGCTTCTGCGTGATGTCAGCCACCTCCTTGGGGCATCTTATAGGGTGAAACTTGGTGGGGCCTTTTATGAGCGCGGAGATAAGGGAGAGGGCAGGGTGCGACACCCTTCCGATAAGGCGGACGGCAAGGGTGTGCTCAGGAAGCATGAAATCACCTGGAATAGCTCCGCTCTGGTGCAAAAGGCACCGCGTGCTGGTTCTTTCTTGCTTTTCCTTTGGTTTTATGAGTATCTGTAGGCTTAGTAAAATACGAAATTAAAAATAAAGTTGCATTTAATAAAGTGCAAAACAAAATGCATCAGTGCCACGCGATCAGCATCCCTGCAGTGACTTGAGAGCTAGGGACAGAGCTGCTGGGCTGGTGGGAGCAGGGAGAAGGGTCTCCTGTGGCCCCGAGCACCTCTCCAAAACAGCCACTGTTTGTAGGGTCTCCCCTCCAAACACCTACCAAGCACTAAGCATAGTAGGCACCATGCCGTGCGTTTCCACGTGTTTTCCAGCTGCCATATCCAAATCCTTGCCTGCTGGTGGAGGCTTCTTGGTGGCATCCCATCACTGTGTCCAGGCTGGTCTTCGCTCCTGGCTTTTGCAAGTGCAGCTGGACACAGCTTCTGCAGGTTGATCATAAGGAAAAAGGTGCCAGAGGCTCCCAGCATGGAGAAGCTGGAGACCCACCAGCCCAGCCCTGTGGTGGGAAGGACAAAATGCCTTTTTTTATGAGCTGCTTTTGTCTGAAATATTGGGAAAAACATAAATGCTCAGGCAGCCGTGCATTAGAGCCACTGTGAAGAAGTGTCCTGAGCCTCAGTGTTGGGCTGAATTTGAACCACGGTCCTCACAGTGCCTTTAATCTCCGGCGTGCCCCGGGGACGCTAATCCTCTGACTGTGCTCGGAGAAGTAGGTTAAATATGATGTCTGCTGCAGAAATGCAGGGACGCCCCTTGACTCGATGTGCGGCACGCGGGGATTAGCGTCGCGGTGGAGATTAGCGCTCGAGTGACCCAGGTTAGCGCGCGCGGGTTTGCTCGCTGGGACAAAGCTCTGCAATTTGTTAGAGGCTGCTCATTCCTGTGGTGATTTCCTTAGGAGAAGGCTATCAAAGTGACCCCCTTTTAAAAACTACCCATTTCTTTTTTGTGCTGTTGTGTTTATGGCTTTAAAGAGAAACTGGAAAAGTTTATTGCTCTGATTTGGCTCTGGGGGTATCCTGAGTTTTACCTGGATACACAGAGCTGGAGCATCCATCTTTCATCCCACTGGCAGTAATTGGTCACCAAATTGTACGGGAAGATCTCTGCAATCTGTCTGGATTTGAAGGAAGGATCTTCCCAGAAATGTTGGCCTTGGTGAACACTACCTAGCTTCTCTAGAAATCTGTTTTTTTTTTTTTTTTTTTTCTAAAAACTTTGAAAGTCAAAGAAACTTCCTGTTAGTGGTTTCTGCCAGGAATTGTTTTTACTCTCTTTATGCTCTTCCTTCTTCCTGCTGGTCCTTCTCTGAACCCAGAAAGAAGCAAAATCCTTCTGGGAATACCTACCCACTTTGGAAAATGCAGTTGGGGGTGTATTTTCTTCCATTTTATGCTGCCCATGGCTGTTTCAGTGACGTCCTACTTCTGTGCTTTGGAGCGGTGACTTATATTTTAGGTGGCTTTGGGGAATAATGTGCCAATGTGAATCTGAAGTGGGAGACGATGCTAGTGCTGCAGAGGTTTAACCAATCCGGAGATCTGTGTGAAAATACTGATCCACATTTAATTGCGTTTAATTCATCTATTTCCTGATTTGAGGGGGCCACATTGCACAGCTTCAATAGTTGTCATATTTGAAGGTAGCAGAACGTTTACGGATATCCGTCTTTTAATATCTTAACAGTACGCTACGTGAGTTTCATGTCCAACTGTCCTTTTTTATTCTGGGAAAAGCATGAATGCCTGCGTGGAGGCGTTGGGAGGAGAAACTCCGTGTGTAGCATTCGCAGCTGATAGGCAGCAAACTCGCCCTAATGCTCCCCCTGGCAAACATCAAGCGGCAGGTGCTTATTGGTGCTCTAACGAAGCTGTAACGAGGAGGCGTCCGAACAAGAGGTTGCGCATTGCAGGGGGCTCCAAAGTGGCTGCGCTTGGTGGGGACTCCACTAAACTCCGCTTTGCCCTTTGGGGTTTTAGCCTTTATGGATGTTTTGCAGCTGTGTATTATTCACTTTTCCTTTTGGTAGAGTGCAGAGTGACCTGGGCATTGATAAGGCAGTGCTAATAACACGAGAGACGTGTGGAGGGTTATTGCACGGTGGAAAGGATTAGCGAGCAGAGCCATTCACTTACGGACGCTTTTCTTCTCTGCCGCCCCAGGGATGAGAAGAACCAGTCCATCATCGTGAGCGGCGAGTCGGGCGCTGGCAAGACGGTCTCCGCCAAGTACGCCATGCGCTTCTTCGCCACCGTCGGGGGCTCGGCCAGCGAGACCAACATCGAAGCCAAAGTCCTCGCCTCGAGCCCCATCATGGAGGTAAGATCTGCCCAGGAAACCTGTGTCAATCCCTTTGCCCGGCTTGCAGTGGTCTTTCTTTTCCCAGGCCATTGCTGATAGGCTCCATGCAGCTCCCGTGTGCTTCGTTGTTAGCTTATCCACTTCATCTTCATCCTCTTACCACCTTGTAGCCTTTCCTCATCCAAAGTAAGAGGAAAAAGGAGTCTAAAGTAAGAGGAAAAAGGAGTCTGTTTGGCTAATCTGTTATAATTATCCCAATGCAGCACTGTGTTTTGGTACTTCTCTCTGACCATTTTAAGCATGCAAATGGACAGTCCTGTAGCTTTACTCCAGCTCAGGTGGTGAGGCCAGACCCTGATGCTCTGATCCTCTCCTGGTTCTCCACATCCTCCCCTGTGGAGGCTCCTTCCCAGGTGCCGAAAATAGATTGCTGCTCTCCACTGACCCTGAGCTCTGTTTGCACCACTTACAGCATTAATTGCTGCCTCCATGGCAAAACCCACTAGGGCTAAGGTCTTCCACCAGCCAAAGAGAGAACATGGCCAACACACAAGGTGACTTGCAAAGCAAGTCAAAGGCGATCCGGTTGGTTGGTCCATGGTTAGTCTTATCTTGCCTGCGTCCAGGAGCTGGAAAGAAGGCTCTTGTTCACCTTCTTCTTATCCTTATTGCCCCTTGCCCACAAGTCTGTGAGTGCCACTGCGCCACTGTTTCTCCATCCCTCTGGCTCAGGTGCTGGTGGTGCAGATTGTCTTGATGTTGCTTGAAGGTGGAACTGTCTGAGATTACGTTTTAATGGCAGATTTTTAATTCAGGAGAGTGTGGATTTAGAAGAGATTGGAATTAGTGAACTGTGTATCATCAGCCAGACATACAGGGATAAATCCTCTGAATATACAGTCTGGACAGATGTGGATGGCAGGGAGAAAGGAAAGGCAGTGAATGAGGAATGGCGGGGAATGGTGCCCTTCTCCATAGGGATAAAACCTGCTGTTCCGAGATCTATTCCCATAGTGCTCCTGAAGAAGACCAGCATTGCTATGGGGCAGTGCACCCATGTCTGTGTTGTGGGTGAGCATCCAGCTTCATTGCTCATAGGCTTAGGAGGGCAACCACTGTTTGCCTCCGTGATGTGAATCCCGTTGGCATCCCCTGCAAAGGCCGTGCTGGCTATAGCAGACTAGGCTGCAAGGCACGTCTGAACATGCACGGAGATAATGCCCAAATATCTCTTGTCCAGATCCCTCCTCTCAGCACTTGTGCATCATGGGGAGCACCAGAGGCTGAGCTTGGTGGAGCATCAATCCCACTCAGGTTAGGTGAATCTGTTGGGGTATTGGTGACCTGCTTATTGAAAGCATGGTGTTTCCAGAGTTTCTGTGAAAGAAAAATCCATAGAAGTTGGATCCATGCAGTAACAGCATCCTCTCCAACGTCACATTGCCACTCTGCTGTCATCAGGGCTCAGGTTCCACCTTTGCTCATCTGGGTTTATCCCGTACTATTTATGTAGCAGTGATTTATTTATTGGCTACGGAAGCCAAATCTTTGTTTCAGAGTTAATGTACAACCATGGAAAGAGGACTGTCTTTTTTAATGTTTAATTCTGTTTCATACAGGCAATTGGAAACGCTAAAACAACAAGGAATGACAACAGCAGCCGCTTTGGGAAATACATTCAGATTGGCTTTGATAAAAGATACCATATCATTGGCGCAAACATGAGGACCTATCTCTTGGAAAAATCAAGAGTTGTGTCCCAGGTGAGGAGATGTGCTTTTTTTTTTCTTTCTTTCTTTCTTTATGGCTCTCTGCTTTAGTAATTTAATAGGGTAGGTCTTTTCTTTGGATTAAAAGTCCCCTTGCAGAAGAAATGTTGCCTGTGTGTTGGCTTTGGACTCTAAATTAAATCTGAGATATCAGCAAAAAATAATCCTGCTTATGTTTTTTAACTCTTGCTGAAGTATTTGGTATTTCATATAATTCCT